AACTAGAATTTTACATGATGTGTGATTTAAATGAGCTTTCTTCTGTCTGTAATCTATTAAGGATCTGCATGCACCCATGAGACTGCTATACAGAGGATATAATTATTTTGTTTACCACTTTGAGATTGATGTGAAGGGAATCAATACCAGTCACTTTGCTTTTCATTACTGAAGGCATCTGAAATGTTGACCAACCTTATCTTCCTTGTGTCAAAGGGATCACAGAGCCCTTGTAGACACACCATTTGACCTTCTAGGACATTCTTCAAAGAACTGGCAGGCTTAGCATGTCACTTTTTTTCCTCACTTGAAGAAATTAAATCTAATTAGGAGGATCCTACTAATACAATGTAGATACAGATTACAGGTGCACACAGTGTGTGGAGAGTCCAGAATGAAAATAGCTGTAATGAAGAAGCCTGGGGGAGGGGGACGACCCTGAAATAGGCTGACTTAATTATCAGACTTGGACTCTAAAATAAGTGACTTCAGTAGCTGCGCTGGTATAAAACAGCAAGTTGGAAAATTCTACTGGGGAGAAGAAATCTCTCAAGGCATCTTCTCCTGCAGAATGTAAAACCAGAAAGGAATTATGCACAAAAATAACAGTTGTACAGTTTTGGTACCAGAGATTAATGCCTGATATTTGTTTCCCTCTTCTTGACCCAGGTGTAGTCTGACCCGATCCACCTGAATTACTCATGTGTTTTAGGAGGGGAAGCATGACCAGAATTGACTTTTCCTTGGGAAACCTCTGACATTTCACGGGCCCTTAACGTTGTCCTGCTTACAGCAAATGCCACTTGAGACTTCTGTAAGGGAGAACAAAAAATGTGCTTGTGCATTCTTGTCATCTCCTGTGAAATCAAGTGACTGATTTCTGATAGAAATCTCAAGAGCACTGAGTTTATACAGGTTCCTGCCAGGTCCACCTCAGAGTAACTGAGGTTTGCACGTAATGTTTGAGGCAAGGAGTGTTAATAGTGGCTTTTCTGAGAGACTAATTATTTAAGATATCCTTGATACTGTGCCATTGAAAGCAGCTTATTGAGTATGTACAGTAACAAGACAAAGCCCAGCTGATTTCAAGTGCAGTATCCAGGAGTACAAAAAATGTGTTCTTGTTCTGTGTGTCCTTGTGTGACGGGGGAATTTGGAGCAGTGACTGGAAGATGAAGGAATCCAAGTGTCTGCATTATTGGCCCCAGAGGCCATGCTGTGTGATTACTAATGCATGCAGGCACGGTCAATAAATTTCCTGCTCAGACATCTCATTGGCATTTTTGAGTGCGTTGATTTGAGCTGCTTGCACTGATCAGGAGTAGTCAACAGGCAGCACAGCCTCGTGTGCTGGTAGGGCCAAAGTGGAGAAGTCTTATTTCAGTCAGACCCTGAGAAAACATTTACCCTGAGTGGCTGGAGATTGTGGAGGGTTCCATTGCTGGAGAGTTTCAAAGCCTGCCTGGAAAAAAAAAAAGATCCCAAGCAGCTTGTTCAAATTGACCCTGCTTTGAGCAGGGGACTTGGACCAGATTATCTCCAGTGGTACTGCGAGTCTCAGCCATTCAGCTGCATTTGTGAGACTCCAGTTTTTGTTTTTTAACCAACTTTTGTTCATTTAAATGAACATTTAAGGTCAAACTTCTGCCTTTAGTGAAATAAAGAGTTTTAAGTGGTTTGTTTAAATTTAAGCAAATCCACTGTCACTTGTATAAAGTGGCTTCAAAGCATATTGAATTATATTGACTGTCTTCTGCTAATGAGCTTTGCCAGTAGATGCATGTTTCTTCCATTATCTTGTTTCTGGTTTGTACTTTGTGAGTAATATTTGCCATTATTTTCTGCAGTACCATGTTGGTAACAGCAGCAGGAAGCCATGGTTAGCTCAGCTGGAACATTTTGGCCTCTAGAGTTCTTGCATTCAAAGAAATAACTGCCTGCTTATCTTTGTGGCATTCTGATTCTCTTCTTCCTCTCATCCCCTCTTTTGTTCAGTATTTCTTTATTGCTTGGAGTTAAGACAGATGGTAGGAATAGTAAATCCAAGTTGATGATAACAGATACTGTCTGACATTGGCATGCCTGTAACTAGGAAGATGAAAACAATGGGCAGTAAATATTTTGGACAAGCTGAAAGAAGTTGTTATAATAATTCATAATTGTCTTGCCTGTTAGAGTGGATAAACAAAGCGAAAATGATTTCCTTCTGTTGGTGCACATTTTTGGAGAGCCTCAGAATTGCTGTGAGGGGGTATGGAGCTGGATTCCTGCTGCCATGTTTAACGTTCCCCACGAGTTCCGTCCTGTTCCTGTGGTGAGTATGTCCTGGGCAGGGTGGTGGGGCTGGGAGAGCTGTGCTCCCTCTGCAACCGCTCTGCATCGAAGCACCTGGAGGACACGTTTGTGATGGTAAAACAAAGCTGCTTAGCCTTTGTTTCAGATCCTGTCTCTGTGGAAGCAGGTTACCTAATGAGCATGTTTTACTCATCTCACGGGGGCAAAGCCTGAGCTGTTTAATCTGTGGCAGCAAAACGAAACAGTTTTTGAACCAAGTCATCGTTTTCAGCATCAATAGAAGGTCGTGCCCTTGTCAGCTGGCACTGGTTCAGCATAAGGTTCCAGTCAGAATTGGCTGCAGGATGCTGAGAGCTGCTCTTTAAGGGACCTTCACCCTTTACTATGTTTGGAGCTGCTAATGTGGTGGCTCTGCTGAATATTCATGAGGGACTCACTGCTCTAGTCCTCCTGCAGTCCCTCCGAGCAGACTCCTTAGTCCTTGGGAGCTGCTCTGGCACTGAGACCTTTGTCCAAGCCCATGCCAGAGACTTCTTCCATCTCTTCTTCTCTGCTTGCTGTTGCATCTTAAGCCATGATACTTACTTGTTCAAAGTTCCAAATTCAACCCCTCTTGTACAGCTTCTGCAGTTCCAAGGCTGGCTTGGCTCCTGAGAAACCCAGACCTCTGGGGACCTGGAGTTTGGCAGACCAAGCTTTTTGAGCAAGGTTATAAGTGAAGGCTGCAGAGCTTGTTCTCTTGACTTGCTGCTTGACTTACCAAACATATCCAAAATCACATTGCACCCCCCGTGATTTAAAGAATATGGCCTTGCAGAAAGTCAGGGCTGTTTCAGTTCCAAGTGATTGTTCTCATCAAGACTTGCACTGCTCTGATCTTTTCCCAGTGCATGTGTGGTTGCACACTGGAATCTCTTCCCACGAGCGTCTTCAGATGCTGAAAAGGGATTAATTTTTAATCAAGTGAAATTGCCAGAATACCAAACAGACGTTTGGAGTGATGTTGCTCATAAAAGAGAAGGTTAATAACATTCGTAAATTTAAGTTCTAGACAATTTCTTCCTGCACTCTTCCTAGGTCTTACAGGCATGTATAGGTAGCAGAGCATCCAGATTAGTAGTTCAAGTCATTTACATTGAAAACATAAATTAAATCAGCTTGCTGCCAACTTATGTTTTTATGTCATCATTAAGATAGTCACTGATTATTTACTTATTTAAAATAGGCCATATTTTTTCATGTTTTTTAAAGAGTAGAGGCTTTTAAAGTGGCTCGTGGAATTGCCATATTTAATTAAAAATCATTTTAGAAGGGCTGTATAGGATTCCTTGCACTGTTTTAACACTTGATCAGGTTACTGGTGGCATTTTGTAATATGTAGTATTACCCTGCTGGTGTCTGTTTAATATTATTTCTGATTGTTATAACTGTTTGCATTTCTTTTTGGTTAGAGGAAATGGTGTGTTCATTTTATTCTTTGGGAGAGTTTTTAAAAGGGCAAGCACTGGCAAGGCTTTGCTTCTGACCTCTGGATTGAACTGCTCGTCAGGCAAAGTCTGAATTGGTAGTAAAAATGAAACTTTTGAGGAAAATTCTTGCCTGAGGTTGGATTTGTACCGATTCAACACATTTCTTATGATTCTACCCTGTCCCTCAGTGCTGCTTCTGGATCAGCACGACCCTTTTGATGAATTTTACCGTGTGACAAGACTGGATTTCCGTGTACGTGCTCTACTTGCTCGCGTGTCTCATGTTTGTGACGAGGTTTCTCCTTTGTTCTGCAGTACTTAAAAGCGTTTACTTATCAGAGTTGAAGATAAATAAAGCATCCTGTTTACTAATGAGCTAAGTTTTCGTCAAGTGTCATCCTGAAGTCCTTGGAATTGCTGTATTAAGATGTAGTGCTGCCTTACAGCTTGTAAATCATGGGCTGAAACATCAAAAGTGCCGTGGCAGGTGGCTGCTCGCAGGGAGTGTGTATGGGGTTTATATCCATGGTGTTCATAAGGCAGCCAAATGTGGGATGGGTTACAAGATGTGGGGATTTTAAGGTGAGAGTAAAATGTCCCCTCCTCTCTCCTGTCACCCCAGCCCTGCTGGCTCAGTGTTCTGCTCTGGAGGTGTGACTTGCACTGTCCACGTGGAACGGTGTGGATTTCTAGTGTGGGAAGGGAGGCAGGTAAAACAGCTGGAGATGTGTGGTTTGGGGATTTTAAACACGGAAGTTGATTAAAACTTGGCAAAATGTAGCCCAAGACACTGTTTGTGTTCCCTGGGATTTAAAACTTTGTATTACTGTGAACTTGATGTGAAAAATGCTCCTGTTTTCAAGTAAAAATATATTTAAGCAAAGAGAAAATAAGGAGAGACATCTTGGCTATTTTTGCATCTTGTTACTATACAGTTAAACCAAATGATTTTTGAATTTTGTGACCCAGAGATTTCAGTAGAAACTTTTCCATGTACTGGAGTGTTTAAACCAGATAGAAATTTCTAACATGAACTTTGATTTTTTTTTTTTTTTGGGGGGGTGGAAGGAGGAACTCTTTCGATTAAAGTCTTGACTGAGCTGTTTTGAACTAAGGGTAGCAGTGCAGTTTGGCAGGTGCTGACAGAGTTGTCCCGTTCCTCAGGTCAACAGGCCATCAGTCACACTGATGACAACATTACTATTCAGAGTTTGATCTGTCTCTTATGTTTTCCAGGGATATCCATAACTGAATTGTGCTTTATGACCAAGGAAAGGAGCCCAACAACTCGCCTGAAAGGGTGGTAAGAGTTGCCAAAATTTCTTCCATGTATTTGTATTTCTTTCATTACTGCACATGATCATGTCTGTGAAATCTAGAAAGCAAAATTCGTTACTTCTTTAATCAGTCCTGCTATTTACTGTCTTAGTCTCACAGTTGTCATTCTTTAGCCAACAATGAAGTGATGAAAGACTAAATTCATTTTACAGTAATACCCTGCAGTGCCTTTTTTCAAACAGGAGGACTGTTGAACTGAGGATGGCTAAAATGTGCAAGAGTTGGAATTAGTCTGCCTGGAATAGCAAATCACCATATAAAAACTAATGTCTGTGTAATCAAAATGTAGAATAATTAACTGCATATAATGTAACCGATAATAAAGCTCCCCAAACTTTATAAATGGGCCTTTTCAGACAGTTCTGTCCTGCTGCTGCCTGGCTTTTAGACAAGAGGAGAGCTGGCTTCCCCCCTCCTGACTGCCTGTTCTCAGCCCCTCGCTTCTGTGTCCAGCTGTACTGACAGACTTTTCACTTGGGCTTGTTCTCAGAGCTCTTGTAAATGTTCTCTGTGCCTTGTAAATGGAACCCAGTTATAAATTCTGTGATTATTTACCTACTTGTGTGGTGGGATGTGTGGCTTTCTGCAGTGTGACTTCCCTGTTTTAAGGGAAGGGCCCTTGTCAGAACAGTGTAGTCAGCATAATCAAAGAGCAAGCAATTTATTAATTTGTATGACTTGCACTCATTTTGGAAGTCGTTCCTCAGAACTAATCAGACAGAAGTTTTCTTACACAAGGAAAAGTCATTTACATTGGGATAAAGGAACATGATTAAAAAAAGCTGGTCTCTTAAATGACTAAAACCAGAAGACAGCTGTACTTGTTAAATGAATAAAACTGATTGAATAATTCAAACTTTTAAAAGCTTTCATTTCTTTTATTAGTTGCCTTTTAAATTTGTTTCAGGGAAAGTAGATTTTTAGGTGAAAGAACGGAGTACTGTTTACATAGGACAAGCAAAACTGAAAGTTATTGCTTCGGAATATCCTAAGCAATGCAGAAGAGGTGAGAGACTTCTTAGGGAATTCTTCTCTGTAACAGTCATCCTAGAGTGAAATTCATAGTATTTACAGCAAAGGAAAATCATTGGAGGGGTGAAAGGCAATAAAATGACAGTAACTGGGACGTGTTATCTCTTGCCAGACAGCCTCACTACTCTTTCAGAATTAGGAAAAAAAGGTAGCAGGAAATCAAGGGAGATGCTGTTTGGGGATACGTGAGCAACCTGTTGTTATTCTGCAGCTTATTTGTGAAGGAAAAGAATGTTCAGCTTTGAACATGTATTCTGAAGGAACACCAGTAATTGTCCTGTCATTACCAAAGAGCTTTTTTTACAGAGGTCATGTCTAAGCCCTATTCCTTATTTCAGGAGTGAGGTCTTCCCTGACTCCTTCTGAAGGGTGTGTCACCCTTCATCAGGAGTGCCATACATTTGCAGGATGATGGTGCTTTCAATTTACAGCTTGTCAACCCTGAAGAATGCTGCTTGGTTCCTTTGAGCGCAGCTCCCTGGCTGGCACTGCTCACTTACAGAGCAATTTCGGGTTTGTTTTGGTTGGTTATCGGTTTGTGGCTTTTAATGAGGAGACAGAATTGCATTTTTGTGCGTGGTGGAAAATCTGCCAAGCTGGGGCCGTTTGGAACTGCTCCTCCTCCCCCTGAGATCAGCAGCAGCATTTCTGTGGCTTTCAGGGGGAGTAACATTACACTGCCCGAGTGGGAAGACTTTTCCTCCTCTTTCAAAACCACTTACAATGGTCTGCTGCAGTTCGGATTGTGTGAAGACCAAGTAACTGTTGTACTTCTTGGCTGTGGAAAAAAGGTGTTTTCTGAGTAGGAGAAGGCAGTTGTGATTCGTTTCTGTTGTGCCAGCATGTTGTGTGGTCTTTTTTAATACCTGCAGCTCTGAAAGGCATTGCACCACAAAAACTGGTTATCTGGAACTGTTTGGTTGTATCATCCAGTGTGTTTGATTACGCTGGCTGTGGGAGGAGGTCTGAAGAGACTTGTGTGTCTTCCCACGAGGCAGAGCAGAGTTGCTGGATGAATATTTATTGGAGTGGTGGGAGAGATGGCCTAAATTCTGCCACTGCAGCTACTACTGGTCATGTGAGCAGGGACTGGAGATGGGAGAGAAAGCATCAGGCCATCCCCTGAATACTTGGAGCCTTCAAAACTGCATTAGTTCTCAACTCTGAGCAAAAGCTTAATTAAATATTATTAGTGGAATTTTCATGGATGTCGTTTAAGGAAAAGGTTGTTTTTTACAAAGGTGAACATCTAAAAAAGGGAGATACTGCATTTGCTATGCAGTTGTCATATGATTTTGGTTTTTTAAGCCCCCTTAGGAGGATGTTGTTCCAAGGGATTTGGGCAATAAAAGCTTCTAGCCCAGGGTTTCCCAGAAATGATTTGAAAAACATTCAAAATAACTACCTTTTCAGAAATGCACACTGAACAGATATTTCCAGGACTGTGGTTGTGGGATTTAACTGATTTAAATGTACAAAATGCAGTTGACTTGATTGGAAACTTCCTGCAGGCTGCCAGATTTCAGACCTGGGCCATCCAGAAGGGGAGTTTTTTTAGCTGCTCTGAACATCTTTTTTTCCTGGTAGTTAATTTTCTTTCCCTAATTCATTGCTTGTAGATTAATGGCTGCTTATTTTGAGTTTCTACCATATTTTCTGGCATGATCAAGAGCAATGAATTAATCTTAATTGATGGATTACTATAGCTTAATCAAACTCCTGCTTAATGTGCTTGATATTTCTTGTGAGTAAGCTATTTTTTTAAAACCTTGTCTGTAGTTAAGTTGATTAAATTAAGACTTGGGCATGTAAGATTCCTTGTCACATCCAGGAAGCACAAGATATGACCCAAATACTCAAATTACCAGAGGATAGCATTTTGGTTTATAAACATTAGCAGCACAAACAAGTCTGAGCTAAGTAATTTTAGAAAGGAATTTCCCCTCCTGGTAGTGTGTATTATACGTAGATGTTAATTAGGGATTTCTCATTTGTAGCTCCTGGAAATTATTTTTATGCTGTTTATCTGAGGCCAGGTCTATTTATCTTGCATGTGAAGGTTTACTATTGTCTCTGCATGACATGGTTTACAAACTGATCTGACTTTGTGTTGTGTGCCTGAGAATTTACGTCTGCACGATTATCTGCAGTTAATGATCATGCAGGCCTTCCAGAACTGCTGATGAGTCCTAATTTTGGCTTTGTTACCCACACAATTGCACTGCCCGTGGTGGTGCTGACTGGATTCAAACAGGAATGTTGGATCCCTCTGTACAATGCACAGGGATTTAATTTCTCGTGTTTCTGATGGAAGGTTGGGATCCCTTGATTGCTGATTTAGGATGGTTACTTGTTTGAAACCCGGGGCGGGGGGGTTTGCCCTGTTGCTGCTTGTGACCTGGCATGGTTTGCTGATGACCTGCAGCTGAAGTCTGTGTGCTACACCACCATGTGCTGCCCTGCTCTCTGCTCCACAGGGAACGCTTCCTTCATCAACAGAAAGGCACTCCTCTTCCAAACTGGTGTGTTTTTCTGGACCCCAAAGACTGATAATCCGTGTTTGGGATGTGCACGTGGAAATGTGCTGGTGTATCTGTCCGTGGAGCTGGACATCTCTGCACACATTAGCACTGAAAACAAACATGTCACTTCTGATCTTAAGATCTGACTGCCAGTGCTTCTGTCCTGGTTAAACACACGATTGTAATTCCTCTGTCATATCTTTGCTGGCGTATTCCCTGATGCCATCCCGAATTTCCCCATGTGGATCAAACTGGGAGGTTAAAAGTTTTTTGAATTTAATCTATATTTTTCATTGCAAGAGTCATGGTAGGCCCGCTTAGTATTCATTCAGTGTTCTTGGAGACATCTCTGGCAATACTGGAGTAATATTGGCATGGTCTATTAAAACTACAGTGAATAAAACTTTAAGACCCAATCTCTTGATTTACATTTCTTACAGCAACATCTAATAGAATTGACAGGGCATAAATATTAGCCAGATTTTCTCCTTTTATTTAGGTCCATTAAAGGCCTTTCCAAGCAGATAAAGGAAACTTAAATGATGAAAATGATTAAACAATAAATATAAAGCATTAGCTTGGAAATACCTTACAGTTCTTGCTCCTTCGTAAGCCTTCCCTCAGACCCATATCCTCTTCAATTAACACTACATTCCAGAGCAGGTACAGGTGCAACTGAAATGCAGTTTTAGCTGCTGCACCATCCCATGGTGACTTCTTTGCTTTTTTATGTGTTCAGGTCTTGAAAAGTGTATTTTATGAAAGAGGCAATTTTATTTGGCTTTTGCTAATTTCTTGGTTTCTTGTAATTCCAGTATTATTCTTCCATTGCAAACTCTCATGCTTTATGGTAAGCACTTAAAATCCATACATAATGAAGTTGAGAGCATTAGACTCTAACAGAACAGTCATTTTTAGATTTCAGGCTGAGTTTTCCTCCACCTGGAGGGTCATGCCTGAACGAGTGCAGAGCTGTGCTGTCCCACGGGAGCTCTGGCAGGGCTTGTTTCCCTGGAGCAGGGCATTCATTGCAGAAGGGAGACGTGCCCTGAGGTGTTTCAGAGGCTAAAAGCATCCCTTGTTCCTCCTCACCTTCCTGACTGGAATTCCAGTAATTGTTGTGGCTTTAGCATCGCCCACATCAGCCAAAAGGGAGACTTTGTTTCTTGCCTCTGCTCCCTGCGGTTGCCAGCGTGGATCCTGGGCATTTTTGATTGGGGATATGAGGGCATGTTTATCTCATTAAAATGATCATTAGCATATCCTTTTGTTGACGTGATCTTTGTCGTGTTCCTTGTTCTAATTAAATTGTAGCCTGTTGTATGGTAATTCTTCTGCTTTCCTGAAGTGTTTCTTCTCCTCAAGGTAGCTGGAGAGAAGGGGAGCTGGCAGCTGACAGAAGATGGATTTG